CATTTACCGTTATTTGATGGGTCAGGATTATAACAACCATAATTATAGTGACAATATTTACCATTAGGTACATAATTGGTAGAACAAGAATTAACACATTCTCCATTTTAAAAATAGTCAGAAGGATTAGTGCAAGAACAAGATCCACTTGATCCATTCGAAAAATTAGCTACTTATTAACAGCTAGTGCAGTCATTTGAAGTTATTCCATTGCATTATAAGCATGTAGGATGACAAGCGTTAATATTAATTTATTATCTATAAAGATAAGAAGGTGCAGCTGTATTAAAGTCATGTAATAAAGTTTTCATTGAGTTACTTCCTGTATTCATAATAATCAAAGCTTAAAAAAAATAAGTAAGCTTATATGAATTAAGATAACAATCAGCATTAACAGCAAAATTTGTATAATTGGTCAATTAAAAAGTAGTAAAATCCTGTTTCATTTCATCCGCAAGTTAAATAGTATATTTAACAGTTCCAGGAGTTATTACATCACTTATAACTCCTACATCAACTACTGTTGCCACTTGAAAATGTGGAATATTTATAGAAAAGTAAGCATCTATTTTGTAACTCTACGAAAGTTGATAAACACCACCGCAAAATTGATTATAACAAGAATTAGGCAAACATAATTAGAAAGTCCCATTAGTCATATTTTAACCGTTTTTAATAAGACTCGTTAGAATATCATCACATTTAATAAATGAAGTGATAGTTAAAATGAAAAAAAGTAACATATATTAACTAGCTTTTAAGTTTTTACTCCTATTTTTTTTTCTTTTTTATTAAGTTTTGTTTGTATTTTTTAATTGATCTCAAATATTATTTCAAAAAATTTAAGAAACACTTCTGAGTGTATAAATATATGAAAAATATGGTACACGGCGTCAGATCAAAATTTACTTCCAATATACCCTAACATTTTTGATTTTAAAAAATTGATTTTAAAAATTGGGTGTAAAAAAATTGATCGCCAGACCTCACTTTTCCTCTTATATCTCTTGATATATAAATTAATTAATAATATTAAATATTAGTTAACCTATTTTATTTCTGATTAAGATAGATAAGCAATCAAATTATTCACCACTAAATAAATAAGAATTAAATAAATCATATTCTTCAAAGAATTTATTTCCAAAAAATATGTAAGAACCTAAAAATATTATTTAAACAAAAGAGAAACTTCTAATACAAAAATTATTTTATTATTTTCTCTCAATAAAAAAATACTTTTCGTAAAAAATAATTTCAAATTTCTACTTTTATTTTATTAAATAATTAGAAGCTTTTAAATATCTTTTTAAAGATACCCTTAATATCTTTTATATTTGATATTAAATTTATGGTTTTTAAACACTAATAATAATTAATTTCAATTTATCCATAGAAATTTTAGTTTACTTTCCAAAATTATGTAAATCAATCAAAATTAAAAAACAAAATTAACTTTAATCATAAGATTTTGATTTCATATGTAGTCCTTTTTTTTAAATTAAAACATGCTTTTTCCTTCTTAAATTAATTTATTTGCCAAATTATATTTCAGTGATTCTTTTTAATTTGAAAACAATTAAAAGATATCTATCTAAGAACTTAACTTCAGAAGAAATATGACTACATCTATTTATTACTTTTGTTTATTTATTTAAATATAAATACATATTTAAAATTATTTTTATATTTTGTTATAAAAACTGTGTTCATACTACCGCAGTTCTTCACAGTCTCGGATCTTCGGTATGAGGAATTTTATATGTCGGTCTAGCAATGATTTATAATTTTAGTTAATCATCTACTTTTAGGTTTTGTAACCAAAATGAGGAACTATGGTAATACGTCTAAAGCTTAAAATTATCCTTAAGAATATCAATTATTAAAATGAAATTTAACAAATATCTTCATACTAACTTTATTGAAAATACAGTGATTTTATGGTAAATATTTTTCTAAATCAAAAGTAAATCTTAGTAAATTAATTGTTCATTGTAAACTAAAAAAATTTTATTTATTAATTTTTCTTTTTTTAATATCTATATCAATTTCTTTCATTAATAAATTCTAAATAAAGTACTATTATCTAAATCCTTAAAACCTATTTCAAGTTCAATAAATAGATATATTTGCGGTGGAACTAATAAAAAAATGCAGATATAGAATATTTGTTTTTTCTGTTAAGCTTTTGGGTAGTTTTTAAAGTAAGAACTGACTGACTAATTGAATAGACTAACCAATAAAAAAAGTAATAATTAAATTAATTTATAATCTCTTCATAAGGTAAATAGTTTTTTTAATATTAGTTAATAAATTGAAAATAATAATATCTAAAAGGCATCTTTGTTTACTCTACTAATTACTCACTTTATAAAAAAATGAATTAATTCAATTTTTACGTTAATCATTTTATACCAATTTTATGGAATTTGTTAATTTTTAAAAATATTAAATAAAAATATTTTTATATAAGTAAAAAAGTAAATTAATTAATTAAATATTTTCTAATTCTTATTAGAATTAATTTAAATTTTTCAATAGATTAAAGAAAAATAATAGATTAGAACAAAATTACAAGTAGAGTATTTAAAAATTTTTCAAATTTTAATTATTTATATTATAAAACTTGTATTTCTTAACATCAATTATAATTTTACTATGTAAAAATTTCTAAATTTTTTGATTTATTTTAGTTTTTAATATTTTTATAAATTTAAAAATTTTTAAATCTTAATATAACTAAATATATTTAAATTATTTGAAATAAAACATTATTATTTTGCTTCATCTTTTGTTATTTGATAATCTTTTTTTAGAAATACTCAATTAACTAACTCTAATAATATTTGAATTTTACTATGGTTTAAGCTATTATTATAGATCTATATTAATTAATACTTCTAGTTCTATCTACTTTAATTACTTATCTCTTTTATTTTGTTTGTAAGTTTTTATAAGATCTTAAATTAAGAATCCATATCTAATAATCTGCAATAATGTACTTATTGATAAACAAATAATTATAAAAATTATAATTATACTACCAAGTATTTCAATTTTTAGTAGAGTTTCGTTTTCTATTACATTTTCATTAACAGTAGCTTACATTTCTTTAGTAGTTATACCAATAAATATAAATAATACACTGACCATTATTTCTTAAAATAGTTTTATAATTGTTATTATTTTATTTTTAAAGAATCTAAAGTATAATAAATATAAACCACTAACTCCATATACTATGCAAGATATTATAGCACATTCAAATTGTTTCTAAAATAATACAAGAAATGATATCACAATAAAATATTTCTTAAAAAAAGAAATTGCAATATATGATTTAGATCCTTTCATTCTAAAATCGATATCGCCATAAATATTTGGAGCTTTTAAGACTAAGTAATCACCAGGTTTCTGATAAAGTAAGTAAACTAAAGTTACAAAGAAAAAACAATAAGTTGAAATTTAGAACATCAAGAGAAAAATATTCTCACCACTTAACCAGCAATAACAAATTGTAAAAACAATAGCTGTCAATGAAGACTAAAGGTAACTGCAGAGAAAATTAAAAATAGTATATTTTATTATAGAAGTGTATTACTTTCCTTTCAGAATTTTCCTAAAAAACAAACAGTAAATCATTACAAATATGCAAATTAAGACAACTATTTAAACCTGTAAAAAGTTATTGTAAATTCCTTGTTTTATTCCAAATGACTTTAATATATCTTTTAGCTTTTATTACTGAGATAAATTACTATATTATTAGGAATCAAATGATATCTGTGTTGGTTGAGGTGTTTAATTAAAAACTAATGTTGCTCCTGATAAAGAGGCAAAGTTCACTTTAGGAGGAAGGTACTCCTTGATTAGGTAGATCATAGGTAAAACTTAGACAAAATTTGAAATGTAGCATAAAATTTAAAATTACTTGAGAAGATTTATAAATTTGCCAGATGCACTATTTTAATCTGGAGAGAATGCTTATGAAATTGTTTATAAATTTTGTGTTAATTCTTTACCTGATGCAAACGAATTAGACTATTCTCCATAGCTTGATGAAACAATTATTGTATTTGGAATTTAATAGTTTATTTTGGATCCTTTAATGCTAATTGTGAATTGTTTTACTCTTCTATTTTACTAGGATATAACTATTACTTTTATATTTTAGTTTTCCATTGAAATAGAATTGATGCTATATTAATTACCTAGATTCAATATTCCTTCTTCGATTAAAAATTAAAACGAGGAGAATTCTTCAGTGGTTAATTTCCGATTATAAGTAATAACAATTAGATTACCTCTAAAATCAGTTGGAAGAGTTATATCGTTGCTTTAAACTAGATAATTATAGATATTTATAGATTAAATAGCTAAGGGAAGCTAACAAATCATTCTTTATCCCTAAACAGGACTATTAAGCTACTCTAAGTTATATCCTTCAGAGCACTCACATATTCCTTTTTAAGTATTGGGGACAATATTTAAGTATGGAAAACAGTTTTAAGAACAAGCATTCTGCCATAAATAACTTCCTTCATTACATTTTATGCATGTTTGACTATCAGAACAAGAACTACAGTTTTAGCTGCACTATAAGCAGATATTATGAGAATCACAGTAATATCCATATCCTTAACCGTTTGAGCAATCAAAATTATTTTTGTAAGGATTTCTGACTTTGATATTATATCCTTATT